GCCAGCCGGGGGCGCAGGGTCTCGGGGCTGCCCGGCAAACTGTGAAGCCGGTAGCGCTCAAGCAGCCCTTTCCCTGTGGCTGGGAGTGGGAGGGAGGAGGGGGCGGAGTTAGGGTGGGGAAAGGGGCGGGGCCAGGGCCCCGTGGAGGGTCCTCTTTTTTTATTTAATAGATATGGTAACCCTAGCCAATCGGCCAGAGAAACACCGTTCCCCGGCTGTACTGAGAGCCGGGCTGGTAATTCCAGGGCAGCCCTGAGGGAGCAGGTCAGTGCGGGTGCGGACAGGGAGTCTGCGCCCTCACACCTGGACCGCAGCGCCCTGACCTGAATGCCAGACTCTTCCCTTAACCGCAATGGCCGCTCTCGCTCGTTAGTCACCTCACCCATTATTTTCAATAGGGGTGAAGCCAAGTTGCCCTCGGTTAAGAGGGCCGCCCTTTCCCGCGAGCGTCTCCGAGGTACATGGCGGCCGCCCCCGCCCTAGTAAAGATGGCTGCCATCTGCCAGGGTTTGCAATGTGACTGAAGCCTCAAAGAAGATGGCGGCTGCCCCGAGGGGCGGCCTACGAAAGTCTTTCTCCTCCAGCGCCGCCCTAGGGCTGTAGCCCAGACCGCCCCGGAGGGGGTCGGGGGTCGGGGGTGTACCGTCACGCCCTGCTCTCCCCGCCCTCATAGAGCCATAGAGATGACCCGCCCGCGCAGATAGAGCGTCCGTTCCAAGAAGCGGGCGGGGGCCCAAGGTTATCGGCGTAGAGCCGAGCCGCGCTTCCTCCCCGACCATAGAGGAGTTGGACAGAGCGTCTCCCAGCCAGGCCATAGAGTGGCTGCCGGCTGTCGCCGGCTCGGGGGCATCTCGCCATTTTAGAGGAGAGAGGCGGAGGCCGAGGCCGAGGCCAGGTAGTGGGGGAACTGGGTCCCTGGGGGTGTCTGCGGCGGCCGCGGAGCCTGGGGCCGGGCCGGCGCCCCGTTGGCGTTAGCGGGCGACTGTGAAGCTGCTGTGCCCGGGGGTAGGTGGAAGAGCCCCGCCTGCCCTCCCCATGTTGGTGGGGTGGGAACAGGCCCCCGGGTGTCACATTGCAGACAGGTGCATTAGTTCCTTACCCCCAGGTGGGGGAGCCGCCCCTCACCTCCCTGGTGGCCAGGCCTGGAGGAGGGAGGTTGGCTTGGTTGATGAAGCACTGACCTGGGATATGATAAGAATCAATTCCCTGCTCTAGTACAGACTGGGTGTATGATCTGGGGCGTCCTTCAGTCTCTTTGGGCCTCCATGCCCTACCTGCAATTACCTTTCCTCATCTCACAGGGGGATAAGCTCATTAATAACAATTCCTAGCCTTTATGTAGCATTCTTCATCACCTCAAAGCACTTTACAAAAGTGGTCAGTAGCTTTTACAGATGGGGAAACTGAGGCAAAGAGTGGGGAGGCGACTTGCTCAAGGTCACCCAGCAGGCCTTTGGCAGAATTGCAACTTGAACCCAGGTCTCCTGAGTGCTTGTGCTGCTTAGATACCAGTGTGATGGGGGTTGTATAAGCAGGTAAATGGAAGGAAGCTCCTCCATCTATAGAGGATAAAGGGGCAGGCAAATGTGTGCATGGGGCAGGACAGTGCTGCAACCACCTCCTGCTACTTTTGGGTGCTCAAAATGCGATACCTTGAGCCCGACTATCAGAAGTGCTGCACTTGCACAGATGTCTCTGGGAGCTGCAGGTGCTCAGTATCTGAGAATGCAGCCATGTTTCAAATTAGGAACCCAAACTTAGGCCTTCAAAGTTTTGTTGGCATAGCTGTGTCAGTCAGGGGTGTGGTGGTTTTGTTTTGTTTTGCTGATATAGTTATGCTGGCAAAAGCCTTGACTAGATGCAGTTATAGAGGCTAAAAAGTCCTTTTGAAAGTATAGCATGTTTCATTTGAGGAATCACTATAAACTATAGCAACAAAAGAACTCTTGCTAGGATAAACTGCCCTAGGAGGGCTGGCCAGTATAACTGTACGTCTATAGTAATACTAGCAAACCCTTTCTAGTGTAGACAAGGCCGCAGTTGATATGTCTGGAAATGTTGGCCTTAAGCTTTCTGAGTCATCCCTGTCTGGTAATTGTGGGTCATGGTAGTGAACCTTTATATTTAACACAGCAACTGGTGCTCTATAGAAGATTCATTTATCTACTTCTGGGCACTATTGTGAGTCCTAAATAAAAAGTGTTTATAAAGTGGTACATAAGGATAAATAGTATTAGGACTAGTCAGGGGAAGAGGTGGAAATAGAATCAGGAACTCTTGCACAGGCTTGTCCTCTTTGTGAGCTTTATAACGTGCAAGTCAGGGCTACGTATGCTTCCTAGATCCCTGAAGTTGGTATGTGTTCAGAACACCAAGAAATATCCTTATACTGTAAATACCTGAAAACAGCACTTGAGAACTAAATAGTCCTCACCAAAACAGGCTGGAGGCAGTTGTTGTAGAGACTATTAATAACAAAGAAGGGTTGGACAGACTATTAGAACAAATGTGGCTTTACTAATCTGAACGGTTTTATTTTTTTTGACTCTGCATATCTCCAAAACATTTCCATCTTGGACCCTGTATTTCCTGAAAAATTCTGCCTTCCTATAAATTAATTCATGTGAAATTTCCAGTAGATTAGATAGATTTGGCAAAGTTACTATCAAAATCTAGTTTGGTGGAAGACTTGCTTCAGTCTTAATCCTGGAGAGACTAGAATTTCTCCCTAAATTGCAATTAATTGATTGGCTTTTTGGTTTGTTCCCCCCCTTTAACTCTCACTTTGATATTACAAAGCTTTTAATGTCCAAGTGGCATGCTCCTAGGATGCTGGAACATGGCCAGTGCATATTGTTTCTGTGTACAATATCCTATTACAGCTGCTTGTCCCTGAATTGTCTTGACTTGTGTTTGACTACAAGTCTTCATTCTCTCACTGCTGCTTGTTTATAGGTTATTGTTTGTTACATCAAGTCATGTAATTGTTGTTTACCAGCTATGTAGGTAACACAATTTACTTGCTCTGTACGGTGACCCAGCTAAGTCTCTTAAAGATGATAATAAATAGTATCAGTGTTTTTCTGTAACTTGTCACTTTCTATAACACTACATAGTAAATTGTCTGGGAGTTTTTTGCTTTGCTTTGCTTTGTAAAGATTTTTTTTTTTAAGATAGTTTTCCCTAACAACTTAAATGTAGCCTCTCTTCAAACTCCAGTGTCAATGTGTAACTTTCTTTTATGCAAAGCTCTCTCCAGATAGTGAAGATTTTAATTTTGGGGGGGAAAGCAGCTATTCACTACAGTAACACCAATAATAATATTCCTTGCTTGCTGTCCCCATGACTTGCTCTGCAGGTCTGTGATTGTCAGCATAGTAGAACTCAAGGCATGTGAATGGCACTGTAAAATTAACTAGGTAAAACAAAAATTCTGTAGTAAATAGCTGTTGGGAATCTGTGTGATAAATGTGAGAGAACAGAAGAGATCTGTGCAACTTTCTGAGCCTGCTGTGCTTCTTACAAGAAGATGTATGAGACATTCCTGTGGTGTTATCTGGACCGGTAATCTGCTAAATCACTCCAATCCTCGACTCTGGGAGCCATCCTTACCCTGCTCCGCTGTGAGAACCCTCACTCCCAGGCTGTTCATGCACAGCCTCTAGCACGTAAGCTGCTCCCAGCTATGTGAGTGAGCATTTTTGGCCAACCGCTGCTTGGATTGTGCAACCGAATGACACTAGCCAAAATCTCCAGTTCCAGACACAACCCCAGGAACCTCTGTCTTGCAGTGTCCAGTTATGCCTACTGAATGCTGCAAGCTTATATGAGTTGGTCAATTTAACAAAGGTTTGTTATCCCAAGGGGTGTCTCTGACATGCTTCAACCCAAATGCACTGCTTCAGGTAAAATAAACAAACAAATTTATTAACTACTGTCAAGGCTGATTCCCCACTCTGGCACTTTGAGTGCAGAAGGTGGGGGCCCACAAGGATTCTAAAAACTAATACTGGCTACTCCAGGCTTGTATTAAACTCCCAAGGTTACAGTTTTTCTCTGACATTGGATTGGTAAATGCTGCCATCACCCAAGTGCAGAACCCCTTTCAAAGCCCAGGAAGGCGCACTTGGGAATTCCTTCCTGTGGGGTACCCTCAAGCCCTTCCCCACCCCCTGGGAAGAGCTAAGAAAGAAAGGAAATCAGCTGTTGCCACCAGCTAATTAAACAATATGTGCACAAACCTCTTAGGACACACAAATCCAATTCTGTTCTTAAAAAAGGTAAATTTTATTTAAAAATAAATAAATAAATCTGAGAACTCAGACTATTGCTAGATTTAAAAAAGAGCAAATACAAGAATTAAGCACCAAGAATAGCTTTCTTGAGGTCCAGCTTAAACGTTACAAGCAAAACAAAAGCACCTGGGGTTAGCACAGAGGAATCCACAAGCCATAAAGAAATAAGAGAGAAACCTAATAGCGTCTTCCTAGACCTTTCCTGATCTATTTACATATCTGGGATTTCAAATGAGTAGTTTCTAGGTACGATACTGGTGGGTTTTCATACCTGGCACAAGCTTCTTACAACATAACTGCTGCCCTGTCCCCTTCTCCCCAGGAGAACAACCACAGACAGACAAAGGGGAAGCTTTTTCTCAATTTTAAAAAAGTTTTAGCCTTCCCATTGGCTCTTTTGGTCAGGTGCCCACTCACTTCCTTTTACCTATGCATAGCAGTGAGACTTAACCTTTTACAGATAAAGCAAGTAGAGAACAGCTACTAAGAAGGATTTTATAGCTAGCTGGCTGGCTGTCCATAAAAGGGAGCTTACCCCCCCGCCCCCTCTAAATTTATCATAACTACAAAAGATAGATTTTAAGTGATTATAAGTCAAAGCACAAGAAGTCAGATTTGGTCAAATGAAATAAAAGCAAAACACATTCTTAGCTGATCTTAACAAGCTGGCTGGTTGCCCTTCAGCCAGGCTCTCCCCTTTGGTAAGCGTTTCAGTTGCTTGGTGGTAATGTCTGTAGATGGAGGTGAAAGAGAGAGAGCATGGCAAGCGTCTCTTCGTTTTATCATGTTCTTTCTTTCCTCTTGACTTTGCCGCCCCCCCCCCCTTCAGGGTCAGGTGAGCATTATCTCATGTTAGTTCCAAACTGACCAAGGGAAGGAGGTTTCAGAGTAGCAGCTGTGTTAGTCTATATCCGCAAAAAGAACAGG